AGTTATAGTGATACTATGGCGGCATCATACTTTGTAGCCGTGGAATTATATGCAATCTAGCAATAGGGGTGGAGGGTTTGGCGCGGCACAGCCGTTGAGTCTTTGACTACTTGACGATGCATGGACATGTGGAAGTTATGTGGGATGGATGGATCCCACAAATTTGTCGGTCCTTTTGGTCTCGAAGTTCTCGCAATGTAAGGGATCACTTAAATAGTTAAATGGGGACGCGGCAGACGTGGGGTCCACTTCTCTTTAATGACAAAACTACTGTACTTTTCTTTGCCTTTTTTCCTTTCTTTTGTTTTACACAATGGGTTTGGGGTAGGAGATTATTTAGAATTTTTAAAAAATATTTTATTACCATAGCATTATTTTTGATGCGATGCGTATGAGATACAAAAATAATTAAAAAAAATTGTTTAAAAATGTGTTTGTAATGTAATCAAAAAAATTTTAACAAATAAACCACTATTCAAACACACTTATGTTAACATTTTCTTTTATTTATTTTTCTACAATTAATATTTGGATTGATCTTGAGTCTTGTGTATGTTGAAAGTATATCCACTAGCAAATATAGATGCATGATATATGTCACTTAGTTTGAATTTGAATTTAAATTTAAAACTTTACACAAAAGCGCGTGCACATATATATATATATATATATATAACATGCATCAATGTTCTATATTATACATCATGTCACTATATATATATAATTTTTAATATTTATTATTACTTAATAGTAATGCATTGTTTAAAATTTTAAAAAAGAAGAATGTAGAACTAGCATATTATATGGGGATAATTTCAGAAACCTCTCGAGAGGTTCCTAACTATTTCACTGCTTTCTTTTGAAGTATACAAAATTACATTAACTTTTCCTGACAAAAATCTAGGCCCAGTTACTTATATTCACATAGTGTGAAATTACTATTATACCTAAAGACGTTATGTATTAAAACATCTTACAAAGGAGTAATTAAGGCTCAAGTTAATTGATTCCAATTGATTACTGAACATAATTACGGTGAAGTCCTTAATAAGAAACTGTAACTGCAATTACAAAGATGGCGCCAATTGATACATTAATATGACGCCAGTTTTTTACTGACATCAATAACAAGGACAACAAATCGGTTTTATATGATATGAGAAAAAGGCATCTCATAGAAGAAAGAAAACTACGAAGAAAGATGGAGAAAATGAAGTATGAACGTAAGAAAAATTCTATTAAAACTCGTGAGATTGTAATATTAGCAAAGTGATTTCATAGTTTTAAAGGAGAAAAGAGAGAATATAGAGGCAAAATTTGAGATTTTTCGACTATAAATTGCAAATATCACAATAATATAGGTAATCAATCTCTTGTTATTTTAGTCTAATATCATAAAGATGACATGTTTGTTGGCTGATAAATTGCAAAGCATGACAAAAGTTATCGTTTGTTGTATTGATAATAATGGTTTCTAACTTTTATTAGTTTCTATTATTTTACTAATACAACATGTAAAATTAAAGAAGGGATATTTATGGGAACAATTTTTCATCTCTCTCCTCAAAACACATTTTTAAGTGTACTTTTTTTTTTACTTAGACTAATTTTTTAAGTGTGTTTAGATAGAGATAATTTCAAAGAAAAATAATTTACCTCACAAATCCCAATCACTTTTTTATCTTCCCAATCACCTTTTTTATCTCACATACATCACATCACAAAAAAAAAGTGCTACAGTAATTATTTCAAATAAATCATTCAAATAAACTCTTATCCAAACATAATCTCAAATGAGGTTTGCGTAGTTTTGTAAACTTCAAAGGAGGACAATGAAATAGTCAAAAATATCAAGGATGGTTCATGAAATTATCCCTTTAATATATTTATGGGATAATTTTAGAAACCTCTCCTGAGGTTTCTGAAAATTTCATTGAGTTCTCCTGAGATTTGAAAAATTACACATACCTCCCTTGTCATTTAAAATGACAATACTATCCTTAAATGTTTTAATGAAATCCTCTTATTTAGTATGCTTATATTTAGAATGACTTTAAAATTATTTTTTCATTCTTTTTCCTTCTTTCTTCTTATTCCTTTTTTTTTAATTTTCTGCCAATAAAATTTTTAAATTACTACTATTATCTCTAGTTTCTATTATAACCAAATGTTGAACTAATGATTTTTTTGATGAGTTAATTTTATATGTAATCCGGTGTTTTTTTGCTAATATTTGTCTTCTATTTTTTGGTATTAAACTTAACAATAAATCCAAAAGAAATTGTCTAGAATCACTACTAAATTATGATAATCCCACTACTAAAAAAAAATCATAAACTCTGAATCAATTATTTCAACATTTTATTTTCTATCTTATAAATTTAAATCCATAATAAAATACCATCAAAAGTATCCGATCATAGTGATAAATTATTATTATACTCCCTCCGTCCCACTTTGATAATATTGTTTTCTTTTTTCGTCTGTCCCAAATTGTAGTCCACTTTCTAATTGAAGAATGTAGTTATTTTTTAATTTCTGTAAAATACCCTTATTCAATGTAAGTTGTTATTACTATAAACTACCTTATTTAATATAGATTGTTAGTGTTGAATATAATCTACTCCATTTAATGCATTTAGATTTTTCAAAACATATTGATATATAAAAAACCAACTTCATTTAATGAAGGGTATTTTAGAAAATTAGCAATCTAAATTTGTTTTTCCAACAAAATTAATTACTTTTTATTAAACTGTGTGAAAAAAACTCAAACTATCAAAATATGACATAAGGAGTAGTTGTTTATCACATTGTAAGTATAAATATGAAAAATTCGGCACATTTTTTTTTATAATTACATTAGATAATCTTATAATTCTATAGAAAAGTAAATTAACACTCATTACACAAGGGACTTTTTGAGTATTCATTTAAAATTTTGATCAAGTCATTTGTTACTAAAACTATCAAATTAAGGGAGGTATTTATAATTTTTTAAATTTTAGGAGAGCTCAGCGAAATGTAACCTCAAGGGAGGTTTATGAAATTATCCCCATATTTATTAAATGGAGGGGTGCCTAATATCATATCAGGTAGCTCGAAAACTCAACCACTCCGCTGACTCACTTTGTCTGGCCTCATTCAATACAAGTTGTATTATGAGAGTGGGACCCCTTTTGTCATGCGTAGGTAATTAGACACTTATCATTACTCACTCATCCTCTAATTGCCTACGTACGGGCTACGGGGTTATCGTCCATCTAACGCAGCGCTCCTTTCCGTCCTGCCAAATTGCTAGGAGTAGTATTTTTCACTTACCCCTACGCCACCCCGCCCCACCCGGCCCCACTTCCCCTCTTCTCTTCTCTCTCTCTGGTTTTGGGTTTTGCTGCTACTAATAGTGTGGAATAGCTGCAACTGCTTACCATGACACAATCATTTCATAATATTTTCTCTCTACAGCGAAGACCAAAAGAGTGTGGTTAATGGTATTGGCGGCTTCTAATTGAGTAGTCGTTAACAAGAGTAGTGTGGGTTAATATGGTTGCTCTAGATGTGGTTTGAGTTAAGAATTAGTGGTTCTTGAGGTACGAGGTAGTAAGGGGAAAACGCAAGAGAACAATTAATCTGCGGTGCTTTTAGGTTTTCCTAACTTGTTAGAAGTGTTGTCGAATTATGCGATGAAATGGTTGATAAATGTGTTTGTTAAGGCAAGTGGTATGGGTATGAAATAAAGTTACAAACGAATCAAATCGCTCGCAAGTCGGTTCAATCAAAACTTGACTCGAATTCAATCAAACATCAAATTCGAAATTGATTTTGAGTTGATCATCAAGTCAAGTTATCGGATTCGAAACGAGTGTAGAGAAATTCAACAACTTCAGCTCGTAAAATTGCAAATTGACTCGAATACATATATATATATATATATATGATTAATTTTTTCTACATTGACAGTGTATATACTATCAGTTTTGAATGAATGACAACTATATAAAACTTGAATTTGAACTTTTACACATATATTATAGAACCAATGTGATAATATATGTATTGTTAGTGAGTATGAGATTTACTTATTTTAATAGTAAATTTACATGCACATTCCTAATATTTTTATTACTTATAAAGAAAATGACTATTTTATTCAATTTTTTAAAATAAAGGAATTATTTTTTATTTTTTAAAGCTCAAATAACTTCGAATTCGATCTTGACTAGACTCAAATTTGAAGCCATGCTCAAATTCGAGCTTTATATTAAAAGTTCATCGAACTCGATTTTAAGTTTAAATTTGATAACATTGAATCAAAATTCGATGCGATTAAATCAAAATTTGAATTGACCCGACTCACTTACAACCCGACGAGGAGAACGGTGTGTATTGTCATGGGTAGCAGGTACTGCTAAAATCATGTACTGTAGTACTATGTATCATACTTCCCATCATGAATTCATCATTCACACTTGTGATACTATTGGGGAGAGAGAGAGAAAGCGTGGGAATGCGCGCGCGCGTGACGATGAAAAAACAAGATCCAGAAAAAAGAGAGAAACAAAAATGGAGGAAGGTGGGGGCAGCGGAATACCACCGCAGCCGAGGTGGTCGTGGTCATTTCTCAGGAAGTCCAGCAGCAGGGTGGTAGGGTCAGAGTCTGCCCATAACTTTCTTGTCGCGTTATTTTATCATCATATGTTTAGAGGGAGGGTTTCCTTTCCAAAACCTTGAACGCTTCTTTAATTTCGTTCTTTCTTTCCTCTCGCAAGTCGTAAGTGGAGCAGTAATATGGGGCCTTGATTGTTTATTAATAACCTCCCCACGGACCACAAAGGCCGCAACCCCTCCTCAAAACCCAAACATACAAACAAACAAACAAATCATCATTCATTCATTCATTCCGTTCATTCATGCACCATCAGTCTCTCTCCCTCCCTCCCTCTGTTCCCCCCCCCCCCCCTCTCTTCTGGTTTCTAACCCCCTTGAACATAGGCGAGAGTTTTGGGGGATGCAAACAAACAAATCATCTGGCCACGCCAGGCCACCACCAACACAACCTACCTGGATTCATATGATCATTAGTGCAGCAATAAATAGATAGAAAAACGCTCTTTCTATTGGGCGCACAATATAAGTAACTGAATTTATCCAAGCAAGAAAGAAACATATTGGGAGATTTGCGTTTTGAGGGGAATGTTGTCTGGCTCGAGGACTCTTTTTGCTTTGATCAAACAAATTTTTGGTTCAGATCTGTTATGCCAATACCAGATCTCTGATCTACTCATCATTTTCTTGTTGATTTGCTAGAGTCGTCGGACCAGGCTTCATTCCCCCCAAAAGTTTTGGTTCTTCCCAATATTCCTTGCATAAAGATGATCACTTTTCCCTTGTGGATCCACAGGTAAAAGGCCTTTTTCTCCTTCCTTGGCATACTTTTGAGTTTTCCTGTCTGCAGTTTTAGCTTATGAGTAACTAATTAGCTGCGCTTTGGAGTTGCTTCTTTCTTTCTCATGTATGTATGTCCTGTTGGAAGTTATGCTAACTTTCCTTTCCCCCCCCCCCCCCCCTTTTTATTGCTACTATAGTTAGTTAGTTAAGGGCGCGCAGATTGGTGTAATGATAAGGATCTTTGACTCCGGGGAGTACGTATGTATCTATCTGTCTGTGAGAGTAGTCGCAAGTGTCCGTCTCTCAAAAAGTTCCTTTCCTCATAATTACCATCTTTTTTCCTTCTCTGTTTTCTACCAGGTTATGATGGTGTTTTTTCATTTGTGTCAGAGATGTATGTAACGGAAGAAGGAACTACATGTGCCTTTTTCCAGTGGTTTTTATGATCCGGATGCTTTTCCCCATTAGATCATCCAGATCCGGCTTCCAAATTTTTAGATACTCTGATTAAAACCCTTCTCTTTGCTCCTCCAACATGCTAGCCTTCTCCGTCTTACTAGGGTTTCTTGGAACTTTTATTAACCAAAAACACAAAAAGACAAAAAAAAAAAAGAAAAAGAAAAAGGTTTCTTGGAACATTTTGGAGCAATTTCTCCTCTCGAGTGTCCTTTGTGCACTCACTGCCTGTAGATAATCTCTTGCTGCTGCATCAACTTGGTAGATTTAAACCGTGGGATGGATTTCTTCTACTAGCGTTTCATAATTCATACAAATGATTAACGATGATGGTGTTTACATGTGACATGACGTGTCTAAGTAATTTATCAAGTAGGAGTAGGATGCTGTTAATATAATAGATATAGCACCACTGCTTAGATCTTGTCTGAGGATTCAATGCCACGATCTGTTTGTGTCTGGTTTAACCATTATTTCATTCAAAAGTCTGACAATTTGATCATGTATACTGACTGTAGTTCTCATCCAAGACACCCTCCATAACATTTTACATCCTCCCTTCTGCATTTTTTTTTCCTTTACTTATTAAACATGGCTATAGCTTTTTAATTACTCAATCAATAGTAAGTAGGAATCTATCGTCTCTTGTATTTCAGGTTGGTGTCAAACATATTTACTACTACCGTTTTTCCATAGTATGTGAACTCTTGTCCTGTGATACCTGTGTTCGAAGACCACTGGTTGCTTATTAGCCATTTATGTAGCTTGGTTTTTCGGGAATACTGAATAAGGTACACTACATTGCGCATAGAAACATGCAATAAGCAGTAGCTACAGAAATTCACGACTTTCAAATTTTGATTGCTTTAATATAATACTATATGTATATAATACGTGTGTATGTTCCTCCTCCTCTTTTTTTTTTTTTTTTTTTTTCAATCGCCAACCCTACTTCTAATCCTACTCTATTATAATCTAACTACGAGAGAGCTCAAACTGAGCTTATGGAAAAATCAATGAAGACAGAACCATCATCGGGATCAGACAGATGTACTACACACCCATCTGAATATTTTTTGAAGAATCACAACCGTGACAACTTGGTACCAAATCCTCAAAAGGTTTGGTGGTGACCATCAGCCTAAGCCTTAGGCTGATAGTTGTATGTTCATGTTCCTCCTCCTGTTCCTACATGATAGGAGTAATATAATAATTACGATAAGATGGCTCGTCCTTGGCCAATTAATCATGCATTGCACCAACAGTTTATAAGCTGTTTAGTTTAGACTTTAGAGGAGGAGTGGGTGCAATTGGGCTACTCATTAATTTAATACTACTAGAGTTGGGATGAAGGAAATGACAAAAGCTATACTGCTGCTAGTCTGCTATGGTTACAGCTAGTACTACTTTAAGACCCCCTGGATCTTAGGTCTAAACATCACGTCTTAATTCACCTTTCTAAATGTCCCTCTTTCTTGTGAGTTCTGAAACTTTTCCGCCTTCACCACCCCACCGCACCCCCCCCCCGGGGGGCTGCGTTCCGAGGTCAAAACATTTTTCGACTACTACGTCCTTCTTGTGCTGCTGTGCAGGTGTGTGCATCAATATGTCAATCTTCTTTAATCGAGGTACCTCCATTTATCACCTATTTCCTCCCTTTCTTTCTCTCACACAAATATAGGCAGCTCTATTTCTGCAGAGTTGACAAATATCTCCGAAAATGAAAAAACAAAAAAATTGGCAATCCAAACAGGGCATTATAGTTTCGCAAATTGCTGTTGAATGAACAAGTCTGAGCTGCTGAACTGAAAAGCTGAGACTTTCGAAAGAAGAGGTCCTGTATGGTATGGTATGGTATAGAGACTCTACAGACTCACTCAATAATCAATATGATGGTTTGATTTATACATACATAGAGACGTTATATGTACGAGTATTGCGGTCACAAACTATGGTTTTTTTTTAGGTATAACTCACAAGCGTTCGCATTCGTTTTGCGACTAATCCTGTTTGAATAGGGTCTGACTCCTTACAACGGAAAACTCTTCCAACGTTATTTTTTCCATTTCCATGAGTTTCGAATCTAAAATCTCTTGGTTAAGGAATGCAAACCCCTTCCACTTGCACCAACATCCCTTGGTTGTCACAAACTATGGTTGATAAACCATCCGAGGCATCAACCAAGGTTGGATCATATCGTGTACCTCCACAGATTGCTAGCCATAGGCAGTGGAGTATATTTTTACCAACAAATTTTACCAGCTTTGCCTGTAGGAAGGATTGTGATGATCTCTTGTTAATTCACTACTACTTCCGTTTTAGTCGGGATGCCTCTCATGCTAACTAATTATACTTTTTTTTCATTACGAATACTCACAATACCGTTTTAATGGCACTTCCTCCTCCTCTTTTTTTTTTTTTTTTTAATTACACTCCCCTTAGATTTATTATTATTATTGTTATTATTTGTTGGTGTGAAAAGATAAAACTGCCCTACTTTAACTTGGATTTACAATTTCGTAAAAAAGAGGTAGTTGTATATTGAAATAAAAATTGAGGTATTCTTGTCCAATTCACCGGATCGACAATTCAAAGGTAATTTTTGACACCAAAAAAAAAAAAAGAAGAAGAAGAAGTCAAAGGCAATGCCTCCTTTTGGAAATCCATTTAACATTTCCCGGTTCCCTGTACAAATACGATCAGTGAACAACTGAAGAGAAGATGCTTGACTAATAGTAGCGTGCTTGGAGTCAACTTGCCACTGCAGCGATTAAGTCATTATTATTAACGTCATAAAGCGGAAAGCTGATCCGACAACCAAAAAGGTAACGTCAGTAGTGTAATGGGAGAAGAAGAGAAGAAAAAAAAAACAAGGAGAGATGCGACAGTGAAGAGGATTGTGGCTTGAGATTCGTGAGTGTGAGACTTCATCTAATCAACTATTTCTTCGAGAAGACAAATCTAGGTAAGGAAAAACATGATTAGGTTTGCATTTTCTTCTATTCTTTTTCCTGGCCAAAAAAACAAATTTTTTTAAGAATAAAAAGGTTGGAACAGTCTTTTTCTTTTCTTGCTTGAAAAAGGGCAAAAAAAACCCATAGAGTTGGCACGAGGTGGAAAGCCATGACTCAGTAGTACTATTCGACTTGAGAGAAAATTCCTGTGACGCGAACTGTTCAGTTTTTGAAACTGGTTATTTTTCCAATATTTATGAGTTACTCCCCCCATCCCAAATTATTTGTACTTCTTTCTGGGACATTGCAAAATTGAAAGCATGACCCTGCTTTCATTGGTATGGAGGGAGTATGATGGAAGAAGAGGTGGATGGGATGGTTCACAAAATAGATATCGGGCGTAACAAAGAAATGGAAAAACAGCCAACTTCGTCCATAAAACTTTTTTTAATGTCTATTTAGTTTCTAACTTTTATTCTTGTTTAATTTGATACGCGAACTTACCTTGCTGTTCCAATTAAGATCCTCCATTGCTGTTACCACCTAGAATCAATCTAACTCCTAATTAACAAATTAAATAAAGGTATTTTGAAAATGTCATTCACATGGTTATCATAAATCGTATAAAAGATCACCAGATAAATCTTTTAAATTGTATAAAAACTCACTAAATAAAATTTTAAAGCTTAATATTGTGATTGTGATTGTGATTTTTTTACATAATTTATTTGATTTATTATAATCACGTAAGTGACGTTTTCAAAATACCCACGCTTAATTAATTAATTAGAAGTCAGATCACTTTTAAGTGATGCCACCACCACAAAAGTACTTAATTGAAACTGCAAAATAAAAGTGATTAGAAATAAAAGTTAGAAACTCAATTCACACTAGTTAAAAAGAAAAAATTAGGAAGGAATTTGGTGTGCTCGTCCAATGAAATACTAGTAAAGCACAAGAACGTGTATATAAGTAGCATGATTGAGCTGAAGAGCAATAATTGGATTCCGCTGTTCAAAAAGGTTAGCTGACGTGTTATGTGGAGCTAAGGTCAAAGGCTTGTCTCAATCTTATCTGACTTTATGATCTGACAAAAATTGATTAGCAGAAAGGCAAAGTGCCAACATCAACAACATGGATTCCTGCCCTTGTGTGACTGTGGTGGCTGCTTCCATAGCTCAATTAAGGAATAATTTCAGAAACCTCCCTTGAGGTTTTTAATGGTTTCACTCAATTCCTCTAAAGTTTTAATAATTACATAAACCTCCCTTGGTCCAACCAAATGATTAAAATGTCTTTCACTTAATAGTTAATTCAAAATGGGACATTCAAAGTCAAAAAAGAAAAGAAAAAACCTTACCTTTTATTATTCTACATGGCATCTCTTAATCTCAGAGAACAATTCCCATTCATTTTCTAATATTCATTTCTTTTTTCCTCCCTCCCTCCTCCTTTCACACTCTTCGCTCTTTCCTCCGATAACCACTCCTCCCTCTCATCAAATATCGGGCTCCTTTGTTGCCAACCACACCACTATCAATTTTTTATTATTTTCAAAATTTATCTATATTTTTTGTCTTATTGTCTCTTTCTTACTATACAAATTTTAGATGCTTTCTTTTTTTTTTTTTTCCAATACTTTATTCTTTACAAATGTTAGCCAATTGAAAGTCACCAAATTAACAAGGTGCAGACTGTAAATTTTATTGTCAAAATAGGGGAAGATGAAGAAGGTGGCAATGATACAGGGAAAAAATGAAATTGAGAATTCAAAGATAAAGAACTGACTATTATGTTTGTTAAGCAAAAAAGTCTAGCAATTAAAGAACTCTAATGTTCTCTCTTTTATTTCCACCTGTTGGTTGTGGCTTTATTATAAAGGTAGAATTTTGTCTCCATTTCTAAGAGTACTAGACCAATGATAAATTATGTTTTTGGGGAAATGGGGGCATTTGTTGGTTTAATATTAGTAGGGGTGGTAGCGAGTTGCATTCAGTAAGAATTAGTAAGAAGTAGATTTTTAGTTGAGTTGGAGTCACTAGACTCTATTTGTTTTAGTGGATATGCCATATACAAGAAATTAAAGATAAAAAACTCGTTTTGTTTTGTCTTGTTTTCTAGAAGAAAGGTATGTTAGGATATTTGTGAAAAAATATATGCAATTGGACCTATATTGTTACATAAACCTTAAAAGCAAGAGAGGTAGTTGTAATTTTTTAAAATTGATGGGAGCGCCCTGCAATTGCTGAAACCTTAAGGGAGGTTTTTGAAATTATCCCCTCAATTAATTACCAGCATAATTAAGGAGTTGTTTTTCAATTCCACTTGCAAAGCCTTTTTTTATAAGAAGGAGAATCTAATATTCCATTATCAAGAATTAGTTTTTGAATGTTTTACTTTAGATAAATTACAATGCAAGCTGGTTTTAGTAAAGAGCCGATGTTAAAATTAACATTGTTTTGGATGTGACAATATTCTCCCTCACGAATTTAAAAAGATAGGTACTATATATATATGTATGTATGTATAAAGTATTTCAATAGAATCAAAAGTTTGTTGTTATTTATTTGAGAAAACTCAGAATCCACAAGGCATTATCACAAGACTCCGAGGACCAGGTAATTAAATGGGATTTTGCATATTTGGACAAAGGTGGCAGTTTAATCATCAAAAATCGTAAGTCATCAAGTTTTGATTTAGTGATTCAATTCAGGTGGTAAGTTTTGATGTGCATCCGAAAGGGCACGTCCAATTCAAGGCATGAATGATTGGAAAGGAACAACAACATACACCGCCATCACAATCATGTTGGATGCTTCAGGATTCAAAGCCATCATTTCATGCCCTCTCTCACACAAAAAGTCTTAAAAAAGTGCAGTGCAGTGCTCCCCCTAGTGGCCTGACCTCTTAATCTATGGCTGTAAATTTCTTCTTCTCTCTATCTTTCTTTCTTCCTTTTTTTTTTTTTAAGAAAAAAGTCTTTCCCTTAGTCAAACGGTGAGTGTTTGAAATAAATAAGAGGTATATGTCTCTTTTTTTTCCCTGGTCTTCTTCCCAATTGTATTATTGACGAGAAATCGTTTTGTTATGGTGGTACTAAAATAGATGGTCATAGTACGACTGTACAAGGCACTGCGCAACGGCATGAGCCAGGAGTTATGGGATGAAATTTTCCAATTAATAAAACAATTAATGCTCCTATAGGGATTTTGTGGTGCGGGAGGAATGGCGTATGAACAGGATGATGCTCTGAGGAATCCCAAGGCAGGGAAGGAAAACTCAAAAACACACGCAGCAGCCCGAGTATACCAATTCCTCTTCGACAATAACAATATTATTATTAGTAGTGTCGTCGTTCATCGACTTTGCAGGAAACTGTTACGAAAAGGTTAACCTATCCGTACAAGACCCAGAAATTCCATAACAAACGCCCCTCCTTAGAGGCCGACGTCCTCGACGGCCTGGTAATTTTGGGACTCCCCCTTCATGGAGGCAGAGCCTCTACGAGATTCGAACCTGGGATGTTGGGTTCGTTGCCTGGCTCTGATACCATTGTTACGAAAAGGTTAACCTATCCAAGGCCCAGAAATTCCATAACAGAAACTAAAAAGATATTGAATTCCAAACCTTCCACCGATTTGAGAACGAATATGCTAATGAGACCGACCACCGCAACAGGACCCTTTACCAATTGGCATTCGGCTTCACATGAGTCACGTTGATGCAGCACAACCATGCAACGCAGCAGCCCGCCAATCTTCTTTTCCCTGTTAACTCTCTGTTTCGTGCTCTCCTCTATAGAATTTAGCCACTAATTTACCACCAAACACTAGCTCCACTTAGTTTGAAAACTTCTCCTATTTGCTTTCTGGGAACTCTCTCTCACAAACTAGGCAACAATTGTTTTCTCATATTCAGATTCGTGTCTGCTATAGGAGAATGCATATATATATATATATTAATGTTCAAACCACCGTCAGCCATTCTCATTTTCCAACACAATCTCTGTTGAGACTCTCCTAGGCTAGAATTGAGATTTTTCTCCGTGCACGTCCACTACATAGTAGCTCAAAACAGTACTCATTCCTTTCGGACCTGCACATAAAGCAGGCATTGGATATCAATAGCAAGAAAATTTTAACTGGGAATTGCCTTCACAAAGCTTCCCAATTGACAGATCCATCTACTACTGTCTATATTCATTTGTACAGCAATTTGTTCCCCTCCACCTCAAGGAGAGAGAATATCCTTTAGAATACTAACAACTCCACCAAATCTTGACTCCTATAATTTCTCAAACACTAATGAAGGTCAAGGGGGAAAAAAAAATCTACAAAAAGAATGCGCTAATGATGTCTCGTATTTGAACTACGGAGCGTCACCCCATGCAAAAATTTGGTATATCCAAGCAAACTGAGTTTTCCATCATTTCTTATCCAGTCTTTGAGAATTGAATAAGCTGTAGGGCCAAGATTCAACTCCTGCATCAGAGTGCCACAGGTTGAGAATTTTTCAACTACTCCCAAGCAGAAATACACACAAGAAACAGAGACATTCTGAGGCGCCAAGAAATAAGGAAAAACAGATAATACCCGAGCCAGCTCTTCCACTGATATTACTCGGTTGCCCTCTAGTTCGAAATGCTCAAATGCAGTTGAAGCAATTTGCTCCC